AAACATCTTGAAACAACACGAAACACTACAATTTTGCGACAAATTTATATTTATAGAGTTAATATTAAAACACTAGTATTATAATTGTAAAATCTGTATTATTTCTATCAGAGTCGTCAGCAGCAAATTTCATAACCTCTAAAACAAAAGTGAAAGAATTTGTTGTAAACATCTTGAAATCAACACGAAACACTACAATTTTGCGACACATTTATATTTATAGAGTTAGCAGCAAATTTCATAATCTCTAAAACAAAAGTGAAAGAATTTGTTGTAAACATCTTGAAATCAACACGAAACACTACAATTTTACACTTAAGTGAAAGATTTTGTTGTAAACATCTTGAAATCAACACGAAACACTACAATTTTGCCATGCATTTATATTTATAGAGTTAGCAGCAAATTTCATAATCTCTAAAACAAAAGTGAAAGAATTTGTTGTAAACATCTTGAAATCAACACGAAACACTACAATTTTGCGATGCATTTATATTTGTAGAGTTAGCAGCAAATTTCATAATCTCTAAAACAAAAGTGAAAGAATTTGTTGTAAACATCTTGAAATCAACACGAAACACTACAATTTTGCGACGCATTTATATTTATAGAGTTAATAATAAAACACTAAGTTGTATTATAATTGTAAAATCTGTATTATTTCTATCAGAGTCGTCAGCAGCAAACTTCATAACCTCTAAAACAAAAGTGAAAGAATTTGTTGTAAACATCTTGAAATCAACATGAAACACTACAATTTTGCGACGCATTTATATTTATAGAGTTAATAATAAAACACTAAGTTGTATTATAATTGTAAAATCTCTATTATTTCTATCATAGTCGACTGCAGCAAATTTCATAACCTCTAAAACAAAAGTGAAAGAATTTGTTGTAAACATCTTGAAATCAACACGAAACACTACAATTTTGCGACGCATTTATATTTATAGAGTATGCAGCATATAATCTCTAATACAAAAGTAAAAGAATTTGTTGTAAACATCTTGAAATCAACACGAAACACTACAATTTTGCGATGCATTTATATTTATAGAGTAAGCAGCAAATTTCATAATCTCTAAAACAAAAGTGAAAGAATTTGTTGTAAACATCTTGAAATCAACACGAAACACTACAATTTTGCGACGCATTTATATTTATAGAGTTAGCAGCAAATTTCATAATCTCTAAAACAAAAGTGAAAGAATTTGTTGTAAACATCTTGAAATCAACACGAAACACTACAATTTTGCGATGCATTTATATTTATAGAGTTAGCAGCAAATTTCATAATCTCTAAAACAAAAGTGAAAGAATTTGTTGTAAACATCTTGAAATCAACACGAAACACTACAATTTTGCGACGCATTTATATTTATAGAGTTAATAATAAAACACTAGTATTATAATTGTAAAATCTGTATTAATTCTGTCAGAGTCGTCAGCAGCAAATTTCATAATCTCTAAAACAAAAGTGAAAGAATTTGTTGTAAACATCTTGAAATCAACACGAAACACTACAATTTTGCGACGCATTTATATTTATAGAGTTAATAATAAAACACTAGTATTATAATTGTAAAATCTGTATTATTTCTGTCAGAGTCGTCAGCAGCAAATTTCATAATCTCTAAAACAAAAGTGAAAGAATTTGTTGTAAACATCTTGAAATCAACACGAAACACTACAATTTTGCGATGCATTTATATTTATAGAGTTAGCAGCAAATTTCATAATCTCTAAAACAAAAGTGAAAGAATTTGTTGTAAACATCTTGAAATCAACACGAAACACTACAATTTTGCGACGCATTTTTATTTATAGAGTTAATAATAAAACACTAAGTTGTATTATAATTGTAAAATCTCTATTATTTCTATCATAGTCGACTGCAGCAAATTTCATAACCTCTAAAACAAAAGTGAAAGAATTTGTTGTAAACATCTTGAAATCAACACGAAACACTACAATTTTGCGACGCATTTATATTTATAGAGTTAGCAGCATATAATCTCTAATACAAAAGTAAAAGACTTTGTTGTAAACATCTTGAAACAACACAAAACACTACAATTTTGCGGCACATTTATATTTATAGAGTTAACAGCAAATTTCATAACATCTAAAACAAAAGTGAAAAAATTTGTTGTAAACATCTTGAAACAACACAAAACACTACAATTTTGCAACACATTTATATTTATAGAGTTAATAATAAAACACTAGTATTATAATTGTAAAATCTGTATTATTTCTATCAGAGCCGTCAGCAGCAAATTTCATAACCTCTAAAACAAAAGTGACAACAATTTATTTCACTTTTGTTTTAGAGGTTATGAAATTTGCTGCTAACTTTATAATCAAATTTATCGAGTTAGCAGCAAATTTCATAATCTCTAAAACAAAAGTGAAAGAATTTGTTGTAAACATCTTGAAATCAACACGAAACACTACAATTTTGCGACGCATTTTTATTTATAGAGTTAATAATAAAACACTAAGTTGTATTATAATTGTAAAATCTCTATTATTTCTATCATAGTCGACTGCAGCAAATTTCATAACCTCTAAAACAAAAGTGAAAGAATTTGTTGTAAACATCTTGAAATCAACACGAAACACTACAATTTTGCGACGCATTTATATTTATAGAGTTAGCAGCATATAATCTCTAATACAAAAGTAAAAGACTTTGTTGTAAACATCTTGAAACAACACGAAACACTACAATTTTTCGACGCATTTATATTTATAGAGTTAGCAGCAAATTTCATAACATCTAAAACAAAAGTGAAAAAATTTGTTGTAAACATCTTGAAATCAACACGAAACACTACAATTTTTCGATGCATTTATATTTATAGAGTTAGCAGCAAATTTCATAACATCTAAAACAAAAGTGAAAAAATTTGTTGTAAACATCTTGAAATCAACACGAAACACTACAATTTTGCGACGCATTTATATTTATAGAGTTAATAATAAAACACTAGTATTATAATTGTAAAATCTGTATTATTTCTATCAGAGTCGTCAGCAGCAAGTTTCATAACCTCTAAAACAAAAGTGACAACAATTTATTTCACTTTTGTTTTAGAGGTTATGAAATTTGCTGCTAACTCGATAAATATGATTATAAAGTTAGCAGCAAATTTCATAACCTCTAAAACAAAAGTGAAATAAATTGTTGTAAACATCTTGAAATCAACACGAAACACTACAATTTTGCGACGCATTTATATTTATAGAGTTAATAATAAAACACTAGTATTATAATTGTAAAATCTGTATTATTTCTATGAGAGCCGTCAGCAGCAAATTTCATAACCTCTAAAACAAAAGTGACAACAATTTATTTCACTTTTGTTTTAGAGGTTATGAAATTTGCTGCTAACTTTATAATCAAATTCATCGAGTTAGCAGCAAATTTCATAACCTCTAAAACAAAAGTGAAATAAATTGTTGTAAACATCTTGAAATCAACACGAAACACTACAATTTTTCGACGCATTTATATTTATAGAGTTAGCAGCAAATTTCATAACATCTAAAACAAAAGTGAAAAAATTTGTTGTAAACATCTTGAAATCAACACGAAACACTACAATTTTTCGAAGCATTTATATTTATAGAGTTAGCAGCAAATTTCATAACATCTAAAACAAAAGTGAAAAAATTTGTTGTAAACATCTTGAAATCAACACGAAACACTACAATTTTGCGACGCATTTATATTTATAGACTTAATAATAAAACACTAGTATTAAAATTGTAAAATCTGTATTATTTCTATCAGAGTCGTCAGCAGCAAATTTCATAACCTCTAAAGCAAAAGTGAAAGAATTTGTTGTAAACATCTTGAAATCAACACGAAACACTACAATTTTGCGACGCATTTATATTTATAGAGATAATAATAAAACACTAGTATTATAATTGTAAAATCTGTATTATTTCTATCAGAGTCGTCAGCAGCAAATTTCATAATCTCTAAAACAAAAGTGAAAAAATTTGTTGTAAACATCTTGAAATCAACACGAAACACTACAATTTTGCGATGCATTTATATTTATAGAGTTAGCAGCAAATTTCATAATCTCTAAACAAAAGTGAAAGAATTTGTTGTAAATATCTTAAAATCAACACGAAACACTACAATTTTACACTTAAGTGAAAGATTTTGTTGTAAACATTTTGAAATCAACACGAAACACTACAATTTTGCGATGCATTTATATTTATAGAGTTAGCAGCAAATTTCATAATCTCTAAAACAAAAGTGAAAGAATTTGTTGTAAACATCTTGAAATCAACACGAAACACTACAATTTTGCGACGCATTTATATATTTATAGAGTTAATAATAAAATTATAATTGTAAAATCTGTATTATTTCTATCAGAGTCGTCAGCAGCAAATTTCATAACCTCTAAAACAAAAGTGAAAGAATTTGTTGTAAACATCTTGAAATTAACACGAAACACTACAATTTTGCGATGCATTTATATTTATAGAGTTAGCTGAAAATTTCATAATCTCTAAAACAAAAGTGAAAGAATTTGTTGTAAATATCTTAAAATCAACACGAAACACTACAATTTTACACTTAAGTGAAAGAATTTGTTGTAAACATCTTGAAACAACACGAAACACTACAATTTTTCGACGCATTTATATTTATAGAGATAATAATAAAACACTAGTATTATAATTGTAAAATCTGTATTATTTCTATCAGAGTCGTCAGCAGCAAATTTCATAACCTCTAAAACAAAAGTGAAAAAATTTGTTGTAAACATCTTGAAATCAACACGAAATACTACAATTTTGCGACGCATTTATATTTATAGAGTTAATAATAAAACACTAGTAATATAATTGTAAAATCTGTATTATTTCTATCAGAGCCGTCAGCAGCAAATTTCATAACCTCTAAAACAAAAGTGACAACAATTTATTTCACTTTTGTTTTAGAGGTTATAAAATTTGCTGCTTACTTTATAATCATATTTATCGAGTTAGCAGCAAATTTCATAACCTCTAAAACAAAAATGAAAGAATTTGTTGTAAACATCTTGAAATCAACACAAAACACTACAATTTGCGACGCATTTATATTTATAGAGTTAATAAGAAAACACTAGTATTATAATTGTAAAATCTGTATTATTTCTATCAGAGTCGTCAGCAGCAAATTTCATAACCTCTAAAGCAAAAGTGAAAGAATTTGTTGTAAACATCTTAAAATCAACACGAAACACTACAATTTTGCGACGCATTTATATTTATAGAGTTAATAATAAAACACTAGTATTAAAATTGTAAAATCTGTATTATTTCTATCAGTGTCGTCTACTGCAGCAAATTTCATAACCTCTAAAACAAAAGTGAAAAAATTTGTTGTAAACATCTTGAAATCAACACAAAACACTACAATTTTGCGATGCATTTATATTTATAGAGTTAGCAGCAAATTTCATAATCTCTAAAACAAAAGTGAAAGAATTTGTTGTAAATATCTTGAAATCAACACGAAACACTACAATTTTGCGACGCATTTATATTTATAGAGTTAATAATAAAACACTAGTATTATAATTGTAAAATCTGTATTATTTCTATCAGAGTCGTCAGCAGCAAATTTCATAACCTCTAAAACAAAAGTGAAAAAATTTGTTGTAAACATCTTGAAATCAACACGAAATACTACAATTTTGCGACGCATTTATATTTATAGAGTTAATAATAAAACACTAGTAATATAATTGTAAAATCTGTATTATTTCTATCAGAGTCGTCAGCAGCAAATTTCATAACCTCTAAAACAAAAGTGACAACAATTTATTTCACTTTTGTTTTAGAGGTTATAAAATTTGCTGCTAACTTTATAATCATATTTATCGAGTTAGCAGCAAATTTCATAACCTCTAAAACAAAAGTGAAAGAATTTGTTGTAAACATCTTGAAATCAACACAAAACACTACAATTTTGCGACGCATTTATATTTATAGAGTTAATAAGAAAACACTAGTATTATAATTGTAAAATCTGTATTATTTCTATCAGAGTCGTCAGCAGCAAATTTCATAACCTCTAAAGCAAAAGTGAAATAATTTGTTGTAAACATCTTGAAATCAACACGAAACACTACAATTTTGCGACGCATTTATATTTATAGAGTTAATAATAAAACACTAGTATTAAAATTGTAAAATCTGTATTATTTCTATCAGTGTCGTCTACTGCAGCAAATTTCATAACCTCTAAAACAAAAGTGAAAAAATTTGTTGTAAACATCTTGAAATCAACACAAAACACTACAATTTTGCGATGCATTTATATTTATAGAGTTAGCAGCAAATTTCATAATCTCTAAAACGAAAGAATTTGTTGTAAATATCTTGAAATCAACACGAAACACTACAATTTTGCGATGCATTTATATTTATAGAGTTAGCAGCAAATTCCATAATCTCTAAAACAAAAGTGAAAGTATTTGTTGTAAATATCTTGAAATCAACACGAAACACTACAATTTTGCAACGTATTTATATTTATAGAGTTAGCAGCATATTTCATAATATCTAATACAAAAGTGAAAGAATTTGTTGTAAACATCTTGAAATCAACACGAAACACTACAATTTTGCGATGCATTTATATTTATAGAGTTAGCAGCAAATTTCATAATCTCTAAAACAAAAGTGAAAGAATTTGTTGTAAACATCTTGAAATCAACACGAAACACTACAATTTTGCGACGCATTTATATTTATAGAGTTAGCAGCAAATTTCATATCCTCTAAAACAAAAGTGAAAGAATTTGTTGTAAACATCTTGAAATCAACACGAAACACTACAATTTTGCGACGCATTTATATTTATAGAGTTAATAATAAATCACTAGTATTATAATTGTAAAATCTGTATTATTTCTATCAGAGTCGTCAGCAGCAAATTTCATAACCTCTAAAACAAAAGTGAAAAAATTTTTGTAAACATCTTGAAATCAACACGAAACACTACAATTTTGCGACGCATTTATATTTATAGAGTTAATAATAAAACACTAAGTAGTATTATAATTGTAAAATCTCTATTATTTCTATCGTAGTCGACAGCAGCAAATTTCATAACCTCTAAAACAAAAGTGAAAGAATTTGTTGTAAACATCTTGAAATCAACACGAAACACTACAATTTTGCGACGCATTTATATTTATAGAGTTAATAATAAAACACTAGTATTATAATTGTAAAATCTGTATTATTTCTATCAGAGTCGTCAGCAGCAAATTTCATAACCTCTAAAACAAAAGTGAAAGAATTTGTTGTAAACATCTTGAAATCAACACGAAACACTACAATTTTGCGATGCATTTATATTTATAGAGTTAGCAGCAAATTTCATAATCTCTAAAACAAAAGTGAAAGAATTTGTTGTAAACATCTTGAAATCAACACGAAACACTACAATTTTGCGACGCATTTATATTTATAGAGTTAATAATAAAACACTAAGTTGTATTATAATTGTAAAATCTCTATTATTTCTATCATAGTCGACTGCAGCAAATTTCATAACCTCTAAAACAAAAGTGAAAGAATTTGTTGTAAACATCTTGAAATCAACACGAAACACTACAATTTTGCGACGCATTTATATTTATAGAGTTAGCAGCATATAATCTCTAATACAAAAGTAAAAGAATTTGTTGTAAACATCTTGAAATCAACACGAAACACTACAATTTTGCGACGCATTTATATTTATAGAGTTAGCAGCAAATTTCATAATCTCTAAAACAAAAGTGAAAGAATTTGTTGTAAACATCTTGAAATCAACACGAAACACTACAATTTTGCGATGCATTTATATTTATAGAGTTAGCAGCAAATTTCATAATCTCTAAAACAAAAGTGAAAGAATTTGTTGTAAATATCTTAAAATCAACACGAAACACTACAATTTTACACTTAAGTGAAAGATTTTGTTGTAAACATCTTGAAATAAACACGAAACACTACAATTTTGCGATGCATTTATATTTATAGAGTTAGCAGCAAATTTCATAATCTCTAAAACAAAAGTGAAAGAATTTGTTGTAAACATCTTGAAATCAACACGAAACACTACAATTTTGCGACGCATTTATATTTATAGAGTTAATAATAAAACACTAGTATTATAATTGTAAAATCTGTATTATTTCTATCAGAGTCGTCAGCAGCAAATTTCATATCCTCTAAAACAAAAGTGAAAGAATTTGTTGTAAACATCTTGAAACAACACGAAACACTACAATTTTGCGACACATTTATTTTTATAGAGTTAATAATAAAACACTAGTATTATAATTGTAAAATCTGTATTATTTCTATCAGAGTCGTCAGCAGCAAATTTCATATCCTCTAAAACAAAAGTGAAAAAATTTGTTGTGAACATCTTTGGTGTCAACACGAAACACTACAATTTTGCGATGCATTTATATTTATCTTATAATAAACACAACATAAACTAATGCAGGACTGCACATTTTAACATAAAAAAGGAAAATGTTTGTCGGCATTCATGGTAGCGTACACACTGCACATACAAGTTCGAACATGAACGAACAATTTTCTTTGATGTACCGACAAGTTGCGGAACATTGCTCGCCATGTTTGTTTGTGTTCGTTTGTGTTCGTTGTGGCGTCCACACTATGCTCGTTGCCGTTCGTTCTGGTACGCAGTTCTTGCTTGTTCATGTTCGTTCGTTAGGTGTGGGCGCACCTTCATTTGTGCGTATAAACATGGTATAAATATACACCTAAGTCTGTTTTTACACGGTCTCTTTGTATACGGTTTTGATATAACACGGTTTGAAAATTGAATATTTTTAATTTTTTTACACGATTTTATTCCATTTAGCACGATTTGAAATTTTATGTACTTAAATTTTTTTGTCAAATTTAATTTTTGCGAAGTATGTTCATATCACAAAAAAGTATTTATGAAAGAAAAAAGTCTGAAACCATCAATAGTATCGATAGTTTGCGAACACTAGCTTAAAGATTTAAGTGAATTCCCCTTTAGCGCGTACAAACAATTTTTACTGGTCAAAGCAAATGTGAATAGCACTAATTTAGAGGAATTATTATTAAAATAAACATGAATTCTTGTTCTTGAAAATTCTTGTTTTTCACTAATTTTAATAGGTTTTAGAGATTAGGAACAAATCACCCATTTTTGTATAAAATCAATCAGTCTTTTTTACACGTTTTTTTTTTACACGGCTTCTTCTGGAACCGATCTACCGTGTAAAAACAGACTTAGGTGTATATGGAATTTGGGCAATATGATACAATCCAAAAGTATTTAAAGGTATTTTAAATCTGATTACGATTTTGTCCTCCACTGAAGTTACAAATCGGTCTGGCTGAGATTTTTGTTAGTTTTATCGCATTTTGTAATTTTATGGATTAAGTTAAATTTTCCACAATGAAGTTTTAAGAATATATTTTTTTAATATTTTAAATTTGAATGGATTTTCGGCCGGTCTACGTATTTTGCCCATTGAACATTGTTTTCCCTCAAACAATCAATAGTTTTTTCTACTGCATGAAGTCATTTATAATGATTACATTGACTTAGGCTAGAAGCATTTTCAAAATGTCTTTCGATGTCAAATTGTCACTTTGACATCGATAAATGTTTCGATTGTAGGTTATTCATACGTCAAACGTGAGCAGACTGAAAAGTAATTATAAATTGCAGATTATAACAGTAGTAACAGTAACTTATGCTTGAAATTATATTTGATTGTTGAATGAAGAGAAAATGAGCGACAAAACTAAAATCAAATTTGATCTTCAAAAAGTCCACGATCATTTTCATGATTCGGTTAACAAAGTAAGCGAAGATGATGTGAGATTAGAACCGTACCTTAATGGATATAAAGAACTTTATAAGTACGAATTAAAATGCATTAAATTATCATTCATATTTCTTCTTATTTATAAAAAAAAATTATTTATAAACTGTCATATTTTTTATTTCTATATATTTATTGTATTTATATTAATTATATTTTAGATTTTTCCAACTCATGGGAACAGTGTTTGGTTTTGTGAGTAGTGACGTAAAATCCAAGGTAGATATTTTGGAAAGTCTGCTAAATGATCCTAATAATGGAAAAAATTTCCAAACGTTTAAGTCGATGATAGAATATGAAAAAAATAATGATTTATTAGATAAAGAAGAGTACACTTCTGGCAGCAGAACGTTACTGCGATTGCATAGAGGCTTAGGTATGTTATTTATATTATGAAACAACTTTCACGATGTAGGTATAACTTTTCTTTTAATCCTTTGTCGGGCCCAGTCTATCTGACAGATACAGGGTCAACCATTTAGCATGCAGTAGAGAGTTCAGTAGCATTGTTATTTTACATTTACTAGGTACATGTCCACATTAGTTTGTATTTGAACTTTGCAAAGTTTGACAGTTGGAATTTGTTCCAAAAAGTACACTGCGCCAGATGCTTTTTGACATACAAAATATTAAGTAATGATGGAATATGTTAGAAATAATGATATATTAGATAAAGATGTGTACATTTCTGACAGCGGAATATTATGATTGCATAGAGGCTTAGGTATATTATCTCTATTTAGCATGCTATGGAATGTTTTAGTAGTCTTTTTATTTTACCAGGTATACATCTACATTAGTTGAAATTTCGATAACTTGATAGTGCGCCAGGCGCTTTTTGATATGCAAAATGTTAAAAAGCACTGTGTTTTCAATGTGATAATTACTTATGTTGTTTGAAAACTCCAATGAAATCTGATAATTATCTTTACATAAACAATTACATTGTTTTGAAAAATGGAATTGTACCATAAATATTTTGAGCACACATACATATATCTATATTTTGCAATACTGTATTTGTAATTTTGTAATATTATTGATCTAATTTATATTTAAATTCAATTTAATTGTATTGTTTACAAAAATGTATAGTTTGTGCCATCAACATATTTTATATATACCCCTATGAATATTCTGCTATACTATAAAAGTATTATATTTATTAATAAAACACACATCCAGCATTATAGAAAAAACAATATAATGACAATGAGCCTTCTGAGCCAAACTTAAATCTGATTCTGTTGGATACACTGCGCCGGAATGTGTACTTAAAGTAGAGTGACTGCACAGAAAACATTGATTATATTATTCAGAATTTGCATTATGTGGACTTAAGTTGTAATAGACTTCTCATCACATTACTTTTAATCCTAAGATTTCAAAATATATGTTGTGGGTCTATATATTCCAAATATTTATATCTGTATTTAATTCATATTATTTTTGCTGTTCTAGATTTTATAAGAGAATTTCTGAAAGCTTTGGGTGAACTGGATAATTGTCAAAAGACTAGTCATGTTTGCCAAATTGCTTACAATAATACGTTAGCTAAATTTCATCCATGGCTTATTAAAAAAGGAGCTAATGTAGCCATGTATACCATGCCAACCCGAGAAGTATTGTTGAAAAAGGTGTGTTTCTTGTAAATGCCTAATAGAATATATTTTTACCACGTAAACTATTTAAAACAAATAATCTCTTATCTAAATTATCATTTAGGTTTGTGGCGATGAGGAGGATGTACAAAGAGCTATTACAGTGCTTCCTAAAATGCTGTCTGTAACTGCAGATGTCTATAAACGAACAGATGATTTATACTCCAACCATGATCTACATGATTTGCCCTAGAACTGGGTTACTCAAACCCATGAGTTATTCCTTTAAATTAATTTATTACATTTTATATTAATTTATTATTTTTTAGTTCAATCACACTAGAAGTTTTTAATATAAGATTTCTATGCACTATGCTATATTTTATATTATGAAATATTAATTTAAACCAATAATATATAGATAAAATTTTTATTTGATGTATGGAAAAAGAAAGACATGACAAATCATTCCAATTTATAAAAAATGCAAAAAGACACTTTTGCATTTTGATTTTAGAAATTTTTTAAAAGATGTTAGTACATTTAATTGCTTTTTTTTCTCTGTGATAATAAAATATGAAAAGTCACGAACAGAAAGGTTATTATAGAAACGAGAAAATTAAGTTTTATAATATATACATATCGAAATCTGATTTGCACAAAAATTATTTGGATGGATGAAGTAGTGACACTCTAAATAAAAAAAAAAATGTTTGAAGTAGAATTATGTATATGTTATAAAGAGACTTGTTAAGAATTTATTGAAAAAAATTACAAAAACATAATATTGTCTGTATTGTGACTTATATAATATGATAGCCTATATAAAGAAGAAAGTTCTTTGCTTTAAGTGTCTTAAAAATTTATAAATTTTACTGCCCCTTTAAATAAGAGAATACATATATTTTGTAAAAATATATCAATGAGTTTGTATTTCATTAAAATAAACAAATGAATGAAATAAAACAATAGTATTTTTAAATAAATATAATAAATAATTTTTTATCATTATGCTATATAATCAGACTATTTTTGTAAATATGTACAATAGCATTTCAATGTTGAAAGATATTATTCACCCATGAGTGTAATATATATATATATATATATATATATATATATATATATATATATAAGCATGTTGGTGTAAGTGTAATTGAATTGTCAAGTATTCAGTATGCCAAAAGAGTGCCTTGTATTCATTTGTGGAAGATCATCATCACCCATCAAAAGACCTAAAACATATATGTACATATTTAATGTAAAATTAAATTTATTTAATATAGAACAATTTGCTCTTTACAAAACGATTTAAACAATGAATTAAATGCTAGAATTCCTATTCATTCTAATTCATTTTTACTATCAAGTCCTCATATGAAAATTCTCATATAAGAAGAGTTATATAAAATGATTGTCAATATGTTTTTAATCAGCTTTTTTACTTTAATCATATTTTATTAAAAGAAACAACACTAATTTTAGTAATAAATATCTATCATTTCAGTTGTTACTGCTGTTTCGATTGACAAATCATAATTATACCTGCAATACTGGCTGTTAGAAAGCACACAGCATTACCCGAGATGAAGGCCCTGAATGAGACTGCTGTGATATTTTGCTTCTGTTTGGGGCTCAATGCTCCTAACACCGCTATTACGATACCGATTGAGGCAGGGTTTGCAAATCCACACACTGAGTAAGTGGCGATGGCAGCACTACGTGGCTGTTGAGTAATAATTCTGACTGTAAACTAAGGTAGGAAGGTAGAACGAAGTAGCTGAAGTAATTATTTAAAAACTAACCAAAAGGTAAGACATAGTAACTGAAAAAAAAATTGATATGCGAGATTGATGGCTTTGCGCTCAATGCCAATATTTAAATGAATTTATTCTCAAAAACGGATTTTGCGCTTTTGATGAAACTTGGGACGCATTGTTATTATAGTTCAATCGTGGCAAAAATTTAAAGTTGGTAAATTCAATCCTTTTCAGGATTTGTGAGTTTGATGGCTTCTAAACGACAGCTTATAAAAAAGCTGAAATTTATAAATTTTGAAATTTTAAATCATATCTTGAATATCTAGCTGTAAGTGGAATTCTGTCTTGAGATAATTAAGGCATCGTGCCTTAAGGCAAATTGCTGGGACTTCCCGTATCAAAAATTATTATTTTTTTAAAAACGATTAACATTTTTGAAAAAAAAATTACTTTGAAAAAATAAGATTTTTGAGAAACTATGAATTGGACAAAAAATTACTTTTTTTTGAAAAAAAAAAATTTTAAAAAAAATTTTTTTTTTGAAAAAAAAAATGTTTTCTTTATTTTGACATATTTTGGAAGATCTGAACTTTTTTTCAAAGCAAAGAGACAAAATATAAAGCGCGTAAGCGCCGCGTCGCTGTCTAACTGATAAACATTGGTACGGAACCCATAGGAATGTAAACAAAATTTATACTTATTGTTAAAATCTCTATAAAATATATGATAATTTCATGTGCATATGTCTAATGATCATTTTCGACCGCCAAATGGCTTTTTTTTTTACTTTTTTTGTTAGATCTCCGAAACCGCTAGACCTGCCCTTATGAAAATTTGATCAATTCTTCATCTTGTCAATACAAGTAAAATGCTTTTTGAATTATTGAAATCGGACGCTCCCTTCTCTTAAAAACTGAGGTACCGTGTTTGGCACTTTTTGCCCCATATCTTCGGAACGGCTAGACCTGCCTCCGCCAAAAACTAATCAGCACGTCTCCTTATCAATACAAATCGATGTTTTTTGAATTATTCAAATGGCTTCATCCGTGTTCCCGAAATCGTCGACGAAAATTTGTATCCGCACAAACATATATACACGCACACACACACACACACATACATCCATTTTTTCTAAGGTATGCCAAAATATTCAGAAACCTCTGAAACGTAAAGATATATAAAAATTTTCATTTTCGATTTTTTTGCGATTACTATAACTTACCCTACGGGAAGTTAATAAACAGTGATATGATAACCTAATAATTCGGGCGAACATTTATCAGAAATGTATCAGAAAGGTCTGACAATCATTATAAGCAACTATATCGTCCAATTTAATAAGCATGCACTTATTTTACAGTATTTATATAATAATCTTTTTATAATATTTCAAACATATGTTTATTAATTACACAGGTCTACAAAAAATGTGTCTGTATTGGGCGTGCGCAATGTTTTCCAATATAGTTTTTACCACTGAACACGAATCTAGATTCAAAATTGGGGGTCAATTAACAATAAAAATTGGAAAAAAAAACAAAATAAAAATGACAAAAACTCGGATCTAGTAATTCTTCTGCATGATACTTGAAATCTTATAATTTCTGTCGTTTCTTGGCCCTTTATACTTTAAATGACTAAGATGACTTGGCCATTTTTACTTTAAATGACTTAACTGAGATTCAATTAAATGATCTATTGAGTTTTTTGTATAATTCAGCAGTAAATTGCAAAAATATTCACTCCCCATTGCCCTTGGGTAATCTGAAACCACGTTTGCAATTTCGATATCTGAAATTGTGTTGGTACTGCTGTATTCTATAAAAAAAACTAGCTGTAAGTGGAATTCTGTCTTAAGGCAATTAGGGCATCGTGCCTTAAGGCAAATTGCTGGAACTTCCCGTACCAAAAATTATTATTTTTTTAAAAACGATTAACATTTTTGAAAAAAATTTAATTAAAAAAAAATAGATTTGAGAAACTACAAATTTGACAAAAAATTACTTTTTTTTTGAAAAAAAGAATTTATATGAAAAAAAATATTTTTGTTTGAAAAAAATTTTTTTTTTTGGATACAAAAAATTTTTTTGAAAAAAATGTTTTCTTCATTTTGACATATTTTGGAAATTCTGAACTTTTTTTCAAAGCAATCGCACTGCTTGAACTGCATAGAGACGAAATGTCAAAGCGCGCATGTGCCGCGCCGCCGTCTAACGCATAAGCATATGTACGGAACCCATAAAAATGTAAAAAAAAAATATACTTATTGTTAAAATCTCTATAAAATATCTGATAATTTGATGTGCATATGTCTAATGATAATTTTTAACCGCCGAACGGCATTATTTTTTACTTTTTTCATTAGATCTCCGAAACCGCTAGACCTACCTCCATGAAAATTTGATCAATTCTACATCTTGTCAATACAAGTAAAATGTTTTTTGAATTATTCAAATCGGACGCTCCGTTCTCTTAAAAACGAAGGTACCGTTCTTGTCACTTTTTGCCCCGTATCTTCGGAACGGCTAGACCTGCCTTTGCCAAAAACTAATCAGCACGTCTCCTTATCAATACGAATCGAATGTTTTTTGAATTATTCAAATCGGTTGATCCGTGTTCCCGAAATCGTCGACGAAAATTTGTATCCGCACATACATACACACACATACATACATACATACATACATACATACATACATACATACATACATACACACACACACACACACACACACACACACATACATCCATTTTTTCTAAGGTATGCCAAAATGTTCAGAAGGTTTTGAAACGTCGAGAAATGCAAAAATTTTCATTTTCGATTTTTTTGCGATTACTATAACTTACCCTACGGGAAGTTAATTAATAGATCTTTATAAGTGATAAGTGAATACTCAATGGTCATTAAAAGTAAAAAGGGCAGGAAACGATCGAAAATATATAATTTTCATCATCATGCAGAAGAATTACTAGATGAGAGATTTTGTCGTTTGTTCATTGTTTTCTAATTTGCTGCTAATTGACCCCTAGTTTAGATTCGTTTTCAGCGGCAAAAACTACATTGGAAACATATGCCGCACATCCAATATAGAGACAATTTTTCTTGTGGACCTGTGTATAATGAGACAGTGATATTATTTCAAGTAGTTGCATATGTAAACTTTTAAAGGCTTTGTCTTTCTAACCGTTTTAACCTTCTCTAAGGTAAATTAAAGTAATCGCAAAAAATCTAAAATGAAAATTTTTGTATATCTTTACGTTCCAAAGTTTTCTGAACATTTTGGCATATCTTGGAAAAGATTGATGTTATTTGTATGCATGGATACAATTGTTCAAAAAACATTCAATTCGTATTGATACAAAGACTTATTGACTAGTGATTAGCACAAAACGGTTCAGCCGTTTTGCAGATTCGCGTCAAAATTATTTGCTTGTATTAACGGAATAAAAAATCGGATAAATTCCTGCGGTTTTGGAGATTCGGAGAAAAAATTAAAAAAACAC